TTTTTCGGGGGGGGGGGAAGGTTTTAATAAGAGTTTTACGGCATTTGCAGCATAACAAGGTCGAAATATAAGTGCCGAAGATAAGAGGTGTTACAAGAGAGTGAGTAACCGTTACGACCGTGAACTTGGAATTGGATGGACCGCAGCAGAAGATCAAGACTTAGTGAGAGGAGCAGAAGGCTATGGAATAAAACATTGCTTCGAACCGTCAGCATCTACACACTTCGAGATGTGTTTCTTCAGGGGACGGAGCGCATGGGGATGCCCCCTTCTGCAGTGATGTCGGTCCTTCACACAAGTAACAAGTACTAACGACCACAAATACGGAGCCGGAAACATGACGGACGATAGATGTCTGATACAAATGGTGAAATGGTATCAGTTTAACGCCCCTATCAACACTATTAGGTTATTTAAGAGGCGGGATCTCCTAATTTAACGCCCGTCTCCGATAGGAAGTGTGAAGTTCGAGTAAAGTGCCTTTCCCAAGGACACAACGTCAAACCGAGCTGGGGCTCGAACCCCCGAACCCGCAATCTCACGATTACGAGTTCGGAAGCCTAACCACTAGGCTACCGACGCCACTCAGAGAGGAAAGACGGAGCAAAGTCACACCACAGCACCCACCAACCACTCACGTTTCCAGTTAAGAATGTAAGTGTCTGAATATTATAACGCCTTTTTCAACACGGAAAGATTTTTAGTGGGTGGTTGGCGGGTGCTCTGGTGTGGTTGGCTTCTTCTTTCCTATCAAACATCTATCGTCCTTATCTCCCCTTTTTCTCTTTTCATGGTTGTTACTCTCTTGTAACACCTCTCATCTTCTGGTGCTCATATGACCTTATGCAGTTGCGAGCGTCGTAAAACCTCTACTAAAGCTATTTTAAAAAGATTTTTCAAGAGGCGAACGGGACCTCCACGACTTGACGTCCATCTCCGATGATACCGAGTAAAATACACAAGTAGGCGGAGAGCCGTAACATCCGTTCTGAAATACCCTGTTTGGGGATTCGAACCAGGACCGTGAGCACTAAAGACTAAAGTCCAGCTCCATGTCAGCTGAGCCCACGAGGCGTCCGTCCTAAGCAACTGTCAGGACAACTGACTGGG